TTGTAGTTTTGTTGGGTGTTAGTGGAAGCTGCCATTTGCAATGCAGAGTTAACCTTTTCTCCTCTTGCAGGGGTTGGCGTTGATGACATGTTCATCATGATCGCTTCCTGGGAACAAAGTTCAAGGAAAAAAGAGAAATCCAATGTTAAATCTCTGCTGGCTGAGACTTACTCAGAGGCAGCACTTTCTGTGACCATCACCACTCTCACGGATGTTTTGGCCTTCTTCATTGGCACCTGGACCGCTTTTCCATCCGTGAGAGCTTTCTGCCTCTATACAGGCACTGCTTTTGTCTTCTGCTATGTATATACCATGACCTTCTTTGGGGCAGTTCTTGTATTAAATCATAAAAGGGAGCAAGGAAACCGACACTGGCTGACTTGTATGCGTGTGGGAGTAGATAAAGATCAGGCTGAGAACTCCTGCTTGTACAACGCTTGCTGTGTCGGCAGCTGTTCCAGGCAGTCCTCTGAGCCAGAAGGGGAACATCCAATGAGCATATTCTTTAAAGAGTATTACGGGCCTTTTTTTACAAATAAATGGGTCAAGCTATTTGTGGTGTTGCTGTACGGAGCGTATTTGGGTGGCAGCATTTATGGGTGTACTCAGATCAGGGAAGGCATCGATCTTCGAAATCTGGCTAATGATGACTCTTACGTTATTCCATACTATGATGATGATGAGAAATACTTCTCGACGTATGGACCCAGGGTCATGGTTGTCATTCCTGAAAGGGTAGATTACTGGAATGAGACGGTTCGTCGTGGCATTGAGAGCTGTGCACAGAATTTGGAGAACATTTCCTACGTTGATAAGAACCTCTCAGAGTCCTGGCTGAGAGTATACACAGTACTCGCTGAAAGCAGTTCGATAAATATAAACAATAAGACTCAATTCTTTAATAACTTACCTGTACTGTTCAGCATTCGTTCCAGTTTTGCGTGGGACTTAAACAAGACTCGGGATGAAATAGAAGCTTCACGTTTCTTCCTTCAGACAGTGGACGTGACCTCAGCCGTTGATGAGAAGAATCTTCTCAATCAGTTAAGAGAGACAGCCAGGCAGTGCAGTATTCCACTGAAGGTGTATCACCCGGCGTTCATCTACTACGACCAGTACCTGGTAATAGTGCAGAACACCGTTCAGAACGTTGTCGTTGCTGCCGGGGCAATGCTCGTTGTCTCCCTTCTGCTCATTCCCAACCCGTTGTGCTGCCTGTGGGTGACTTTTGCAATAGCTTCTGTTATAGTTGGTGTGGCGGGTTTCATGTCGTTCTGGAATGTCAATCTCGATTCCATATCCATGATCAACCTGGTCATTTGTATAGGGTTTTCGGTAGATTTTTCTGCTCATATTTCCTATGCCTTTGTTACGAGTGGAGAGTCATCAGCCAATAAAAGGGCAATCGAAGCGCTGTCCCTGCTCGGTTACCCGGTATTACAAGGTGCAGTTTCTACTATATTAGGAGTTGTTGTCCTGGCTGCAGCAAAAACCTACATCTTTAGGACCTTTTTCAAGATCATGTTTCTTGTCATTTTGTTTGGCGCTCTTCATGGTCTTGTTTTCATTCCAGTGTTTTTAACATTTTTTGGAAAATTTGGCACATCACCCCACAATACCAAATCTGAAAAGCCAGAGCTTAGCTTAAGAAATTATAAAGATTGCTCATGACTACATTAAATGTATTCTATTTTATATATATTATATATTGATTGAAATGCAGTGACTTTCAGGGAATGTAAGAAATGAATAAAATGAAGGACAGAAAAATAAATATATCAGGGAAGGAAGGCTTCAAAAAAGCCATGCAAGAAAAACAACAGAAGAAATGAAACATTACAGAGTGCATTTGCATTTCTCATTTTTGTGTGTGCTTGATTCAACATCTTAATGTTGTTAAATATTTTTTGTGTTTACTGAATGTATTAAAATGACTCCTAAGCCTGCAGGAGACAAAGTCTGCTTAAGGCTCCTAATGCAGCACAAGAAACCGTTGGTGAAGACAAATGGACTCACATTTTCTGTTCAAAGTCTTATTGTCTTGATCTGTTTTCTAGCTAAGATTAAACATTTGGTACCTTTAAGAAGATTGTGTGTATCTTCTGTTGGCTGCAGTTTGCAAAGGGATATGCTGTAGGTTATTGAAGTTGTGTGGACCTCCTGAGTAACCACCATGGAAGATGCCCTGCCATGGCACGACAGGACAAGGATTCACTAGGGAGAATCATGTCCTGATTGAGAGCAAAGTGGAAAAACAACTCAAGTTTGAGCAGGTCAGTCCTAAAACTGTAAACCCATAAATTCCACCGTATTCATCAGTGACAGCCCATCCTTTGACATGTCAATAGAGCAGAGGAGCTCCCACTGAATAAGAGCTAAGAATATATGAGGTTGTCTTCTGACCTGTAGGGACAAGACAGTGGGTGAGAAGTCAATTCATAATTTGTTGCCAATATAAGGAGCAACCCATTGGAAATCAAATGATGGTGACTGATGTTTGTAATTTTGGAAAAACTGGTGTAGGACTTACCATTCAGTCCAAATCTGCTGCTGTGGAGGGTTTCTGCTGAGAGATCAAGCAAGTGTGACAAAGCCAGGGTCTGCCTCTGTCCCCTATGGATTTCTGGCTGGTTGTATGAGACCCAGTAAACAAGGCAGAATCCTATTTCTTTCATGATACTTCTGTTTATGGGGACCACAGGCTTGAAATCCAGTCATTCACAAACAGGACAAACAGGAAGTACTGATACTAATTTTCAGAGCAGTGAATCATAATCTACAGGTATTTCCATTTTGAGTCGCTATGAAAGCTACATAACAAAGCTGAAGATAAATCACTGACAGCCAAGAAAAAATTGTGGGACCAGTTACTCAATATTCACTAAATCTGGAATGCAACATGAAAGCATACTGGCAACTTTCTGTCCAAAACCCATTATTAACCAAGTTCCTATAGAAAAGGAAACTAAAAATCAAATACCCACCACCTCCTCAAAATTTTTTGATCCTGTGCACACCTTCTCAAATTGGAAAAAAGTGCAGAGACCACATGAAGTTTACTTGAAACTAATTTTATGTTAGTTGCTCAAATTTAGAGAGATACTGGTGAGGCCACACCTCAAATCCTGTGTTTGGTCTTGGACCCCTCACTGCAAAAAAGACATTGAAGTGCTGGAGCATGTCCAAAGAGCAATGAACCCAGTGAAGGGATTAGATCAAAAATCTTACGAGAAGCAGCTGAGGGAGCTGAGGCTGTTTAGCCTGGAGAAAAGGAGGCTCAGGGAAGACCTTATTGCTCTCTACAACTGCCTGAAAGGAGGTTGTAGGGAGGTGGGAGTCAGTCTCTTCTCCCAAGGAACAAGTGACACGACAAGAGGAAATGACCTCAAGCTGTGCCAGTGAAAGTTAGGTTGGATATTAGGAAAAATTTCTTCACTGAAAGGTGGTCAAGCATTGGAATAGGCTGCCCAAGGAAGTGGTAGAATCACCATCCCTGGAGATGTTAAAAAAAAAAAAAAAACGTGGATGTGGCACTTAGGAATGTGGGTTAGTGGTGAACATGGAGATGCCGGGTTAATGGTTGGACTTGATACTCTTGGAAGGTTTTTCCAACCTTAATAATTCTATGGTCTGAAGAGTAATGATTACACTTATCATTAAGACATGTCCTAGATCACTTTCTAAAAGCAAAAATAAATTAAGCACAAAGCAGTTTTTTGGAGGAGTACTTAACATGCATGAAACCAGAAGTGCATTTCAGCTGATGCATCTTTCCAGGTCTACCTTTATCCCTAGTGCTAGAGCTTTTTGGAGATTGATTTGGCTTTTTTGCTTTTTGGAAATTGAAACAAATAAAACCACCAATCGCCCTACCACATCTCCCCTCTACCTATGACAGCCTGAGAATTTTTATACTAAATTCTTTATAAAAGGTATCCTGAACTTTCCTGCAAATTATGTTAAGTTTCCTTCTAATTTCAGTTTTTCTGTGGTCTTCCTATCTGGAAAGATAAACCAAATTTGGGGGTGTTGTTTCATCACTATGGCAGTTGAATATTCTGCAGAAGTAGCTCTGTAATAATGAATAAATGTTTATTAAAAAAAGTTGGTCTTGCAATGCTGTGGAGCTAAAGAGGAAGTTTTGTTCCTAGAAGGAGAAACAATTCTTGAAATAGTAGTCAAAGGTTGAAAACTTGTATTAATCTTAGAAGTTAGCTGTCTAGTTCAAAGTCAAAACCCAGTGCAACTACAGCCCATATGGTACAGAATTACAGCCAGCAGCATTAAATTTCCAGGACAGGGCACTAACCACAAAGCTAGATCTGGGAAAAAACAAACCAAAACCAAATCTTAACCGCATGCACCAGAGTCCCCTCTTCTCCCATGAAATGTTTCATTGTCCATATTAGTGCTTTTATTATGGCATGCAGTACAGCCATTTCTGCACTGATGATACTGTGGAAGGAGCAGAGGATGCACTCACATTGGCCAACACCAGAGGAAGGCCTCTCAATAAACACTGGAACAGGAGTCAAGCTCTTGGAAAAAGAGAATGGAAATCTACCTCTGAGAGAAGTAGAGTGACCTATTTAAAGTTAGTACTCTCACCTCTCATCCTGTTGTTTGGCCGTGTTTTAGAACATGCTTTACAAATAGCTCTCCTTGCTTCTAGCAGAGGTTTCCAAGCAGATCAAGATCAAGCTACCAGTGCCTTGATTGCTTTAATTTCAGTTTAAGGGATCAAGATTTAGAAAACTGTTCTGACATTTCAGCTGACTCAGGTCATCACTGAGTAGGAAGCAGCCAGAAAGAGCAGGCCACATCTTTCTCTGAAAATTTGCATTTTCTTTGTATTAAGCTTGATGGAAAAATTCTGGCATGCCAGCCTCAGAAATGGAGAAAATCCAGAATCATGTCCAAGTGTGAATTTCTTATTTTATATGCCACTGTGCTTGTGACCAGTTTAAGGGTATTTAAAAAGCCAACAGTCCATCTGAGCACCTAGCTGTGCCCTGTTTTCAACAGCAGGAGGCCATGTACTTAAAGGGAACTGAGGTTATTCTCACCCTCTGACTGACATCTGGAAACTGCCTTTGTGGGTTGACTTGGACACTAGGAACACACCAAAGCTGCTCTATCACTCCCCTCCTCAGCTAGGCAGGGGAGAGAAGATACCAAAAAGACTCATAGGTTGAGATAAGGGCAGGGAGAGATCACCAGTTACTGTCATGAACAAAACAGACTTGACTTGGGGAAATTAGTTTATTGCCAATCAAATCAGAAATAGAACCAAATATTAAAAACACCTTCCCTTCCCCCCCCCCTTTTTTCCTGGTTTAAACATCACTGCCACTTTTCTTTACCTTCCCCCTACAGCGGCAAGGGGAGGGGGTGGGACAGGAAATGGGTGCAGTCAGTTCATCACACATCTCTGCCACTCTTCCTTCCTCAGGGGGAGGAGGACTCACTCCTCTTCTGCTCCAGTATGGGGTCCCTCCCATGGGAGACAGTCCTCCACAAAATTCTCCAATGTGGATTCTTCCTACAGGCAGCAGGTCTTCACAAACTGCTCCAGCATGGGTCCCTTCCACAGGGTGCAGTCCTTCAGGAACATCCTGCTCCAGCATGGGTCACAAGTCCTGCAAGCGAACCTGCTCCAGTGGGCTACTCTCCAGTGGTCCACAAGTCCTGCCAGGAGCCTGCTCCAGTGCACAGCCTCCTTTGGGCATCCACCTGCTCTGGTGTGGGGCCCTCCACAGGCTCCAGGTGGAGCTCCATGGGCTGCAAGGGGAGAGCTGCCTCACCGTGGTGTTCACTACCAGCTGCAGGGGAATCTCTGCTCCAGTGCCTGGAGCTTCTCCTCCCCCTCCTTCTTCACAGACCTTGGTGGCTGCAGAGTTGTTTTTCTCTCATGTTCTCACTTTTCTCTCCTCTGGCTGCAATTGCTCTTGCACAGTAACTTCTTCACCTTCTTAAGTGTGTTATCCCAAAGGCATTACCACTGTGGCTGATGGGCTCAGCCTTGGCCAGTCGTGGGTCCCTCTTGGAGCTTCTGGCTGTGCTCTATCAAACATAGGGAAGCTTCTGGCATCTTCTCACAGATGCCCTCCATGTAGCATCCTCACTACAAAAACCCTGCCACACAAACCCAATCCAGTGGTCTCCTACCTCTGCCCAATGATTATGTGAGGAGAAATTCCAGCTCCTAGATGCACCCAAAGAACACCAGAGGTCAAACCCAATGCCTAAACAGGTAAGTTTCTTTGAAACTCCACAGATGTCACATGCACACAACCAACCAAGAACGACAATAAACTCTGTAGTAATATCTGTGCTGTTAAGTTGGCCAGAAAGCAAAAGATCCCTTTCACACTTTATGGCTAATCTTGTAAAAATCTTTCATGATCCAATGAAATACCACTTCTCTACTTCTATGCATATAGCAAGAAGCTTTTGAATGAGAATTGGACTTAAAGGACTTAACTCTCAAACAAGATCACTGAATATAGATTTTAGTGACTTCAAAAAAAAGTTTTTTGCTTTTATTTCTAAGTGCAGATTCACATTATTTAGCAGGAAAAGTTCCCTTTCAAGTCCCACTACAGAAGTAGTAAAAAGGTCTGAATTTCTAGGGAGAACATTCCCTAGAAATCTCATTAGAGAGAGTGCAATTTTGCCATAATTCTCAAAATTTATTTACAACTTTAAATGTTATATACACCTCAATTTACATAGTAGGGAACTTGGTATTACATGTTATAGCAATTTACAATGAATAAAAAGAAAACCAATATGCATAATTAAAATTAACCTTTATTACTCCAAAAACAGATGCCAAATATGCAGTATATTTCTGTTTCTGTTGGCATATTTCTAAAATACATGTACAACTCTAACTAGTCAGCCTAGACATTTTGTATACTGTTTTATAACATTTGGAAGTTCTCCCACACGGAGTGGGATGTCACTATAGTAAGCTGACAAAAACAGGCAAAAAGAAAGTTACTCTGGTTTTGAAAGGAAAAAAAATGCATGTGCTCCTACTAAAAAACTAAGTTATAATCAAGCATTACTCAGAAAATTC